AATATTGTTGAAGGGCAACACTGCAATAAGAAGCTGACTGAAAAACAAACATCTGATATGATTCACTACACGGCTCGTCCTCCATAAATATATGTGACCATCAAATTATTACGTTTTTCCGATCTTAGTTTCGGTTTTGGTTTTGATTTCGTTTTCGTTTCTGCTTTGGAGAAGTTCGGAAGGAAAGTCCAAAGATAAAAGGAGAAAGGTAGAAAAGATAAAGGCAAGTACCTATTTAATGATAATCAACGTATAAAGTAAATAAAATAAGTATAAAATGTGCCATTCACCTTATTTGAGTTGATTTATTCTAATTAAATAGCATTAGTCGTGTTAAATTTTGCCTGTTCAAAGTCACTTTCTCATGCATTGCGATTTTCATTTTCGGTTATTTTGCACAATTTTAATCGAAATTGTGCAAAAATCTGTATAAAATATAACAATTTTTTGTTCAAAATTAAATTAAATTATCATCTGGCACACTTTATATAAAGGCTGCTCATAAAATAAAATTAATATTTTACGTAAAATTAACAGTTATATTTACGATTTATTCAAAATATTTAGTATAAAACTGTAGATAACTATAAATAAACCTTTGAAATAAGTAAAATAAGGGGGGGAGCCTGGGTTTAGTAACAATTCACTTATAGGCCTATAATACACTATCTATACATAATACTGATATAGAATATAGAAGAAATGTATTATAGATTATATACTACTTATATCAACTTCTGGTGAATTTCCACACCGGAAGTTAAGATAACAATTGCCCAAATAGTACTAGTTTCAGCTCTATAATGTTGTTAGGTTACAACTATAGATAATTTTTTTATTTAAATGAAATTCCTAATTAGGTATATATTTAGCATTATGTTTCATTAATAATTATTTTTATATAATGATCATATCAAAGTATTGCAGTTTATATTAAACCATGTTTAATATACTCAGAAATATATATTAATGGTGTATATTATACTGTAAATTTGTAAAGAAATTCAGGTTATTTTTTATAATTTTAGGTATAATAATTGAATAAATTTCTATCTTTAGAAACATCTCTACACCTCACTTAAATCTAAAAGTATTCACAAAATCTTTATATAAATTATATCATAATTTATATCGTGTAATTGAATCGCTGATCAGAGTGTATAATGCAACTTATCTCTTCTAGTGTTCTTTGTAGTTTACAAATGTGGTGTTTTTTAAATTTATTTATAGGTGAAGCGACTAAATGCTTACTGTATCTATTGTTTTAACTAGTATATACTGTATATAACACTGTAGATTGATTGACTTTAAAACTTAAATCTCTATGAGCTTAGCGCAGATTTTTTAGGTATTTCTACAATCTTTGTAATTTTTCGTTAATAAGGTTTGGTAGGCGTATTTGTGTGTTCAAAATAGTACAAAAACTGAAATATTTTCAGCTTCTTTTCTCATATTTTGCCTTCGTAACATTAAACAAAGTTGGTGATAAATGTGTAGCAGATGCAGCTCTAGAAGCTATTTGCTGAAAACGAGAAGCTAAGGTGTAAAAAAATATTAAAATCTAATTTAAATTTATTAATTATTTTAGAAGAATACGAAAGTAGTTATGGAGATTCTATAATGCAGTTTATCAGAAAAGATTCCTTTGATATATTCGGTAAAATGACGAATCTTCTAACAAACCGTACTCACGTTTCTGAAGAAATAAGGGAATTTATACATTCGCAATTTTTTCCAGTAGGATTTACACCCGAACAACAAAAAGAATATATAAACTCAATGTTCAAACAATCAAAAGGTATAATACACAAACTGCATAATACACTCAATTGTTCTTTTACAGCGTGTCCATTAATGTTCCATGCTCTGTTGCTTACGTTTGAGTAATCAATTAGAAACTTTCGAAAGAAAGATAGATTTGTACATCCAAATATTTCAATTACTTATCAAGAGATTTATAAGAAAGAATGGTCAGCGTCACAATTTGAAACAGGAAAAGTACCTTTTCGGTGAAGATATTTTAGTAAAATTGGGGAAATTAATTTTTAAAAACATCTGAGATTAGAAGATATAAGTAACTTCCGTTATACAGAAACAATCCAAAGAATTACAATAGAGGATTTAAAAGAATGTTTCCTCGAGAACAAAGAGATTATTTTCTGTCTACAGTTTTTTCTTCTGTGCTCTGGGAAAAAGGATAAGATGTATTTTGTCTCTGCCCATAAGAACTTTAAACACTTTTTTATTGCTCTTTATATTTATACAAGTGAAAAGGCGCCATTCATACAATGTTACCACGATTATTCCTGTCACTCCTTTTATATTTACACGCAATAACAAATTTATTATGTTTCACGTGGGTCTATTTGAAACCGATAGAATTCCGAAGATATTACTTTAAGATATTTCAAAAAAAATTGTATTTCCGTTTCAGTTTGCATCGAAAATATACAAAGAAGTTGAGAATGACAGCAGAAAAACTACTACCACATACAAACACCATTCACGTGCGATGTGTAGTTTTTGCGGAAAAGTGAAATATAGGGACATACATGTCCATTTATATATATATATATATATATAGAAAATAGATATAGATATAGATGAGTTGATATTTTATAAGTTTAGAAATGTGGAAATCGAAAATATAATCGTAGTCGAGCGTATATATCAGTAGAAAATATAAATATTGCATTAAAATAACACACTTTGCTGAAAGTCTGAAATGAAAGAGTAATTGAATCGAGTCCCGCCGCCATATTGATTAGCGCGCGACGATTATGAGCGCGTCGCGTTGCACCAAATTAAATAATTTATAAAAATTGAAATAATAAACACGTATATAAAATAATTTACTATTTCTGTTGGAAATAATATCGTAAAACACACTGCACTTATAGTTTAGCATTTCCGATAATATTTTATTAATTTTTAAATTTTATTTTATTTTATATGTAAAAATCGAAGAAAAAAACATAAATGCGTAAAACTTAATAAAAAAAAATATCGGCAACTTCAGATAACACATAAATCTGAGAATCTATCAAAAAGAGATAGTTAATAATAATTAATATCCAGAAAAAAAAATAAAACTGTCAAGGTAAGAAAATTTCTGTGGTAAAAAGTGAGGTAAGCGATCACGTGACGCCCGTCTCCCCACCTTCAGTAACAAAAGCGCACAAGGTTGAAATAAAAGCAATAACAACAGTATAAGTAAAAACAATAATCGGCGCGTGTCAAGGACAATAAATTTGAACGGGAGCGAAGATGAAACACCACACTTTATGATTTTTGTTTAAATACAGTCGACCCCCCTATAACACTGTTGATAATTTTGTTTTATATGAATTCCATGTTGTACGAGTCGCTTAGATTTTACAAATACATGAGCTATTCACAGCCCAGCACACATATTTATAAAATCTAAGTGACTCGTACAACATGGAATTCATATAAAACGGAATAATCAACAGTGTTATAGGGGGGTCAACTGGTATCGATAAAACCATTTAAAATGACTCCGACTAAACATGTACAAGTCGACCCCCCTATAACACTTGATAATTCCGTTTTATATGAATTCCATGTTGTACGAGTCACTTAGATTTTACAAATACATGAGCTATTCACAGCCCAGCACACATATTTATAAAATCTAAGTGACTCGTACAATATGGAATTCGTATAAAACGGAATAATCAACAGTGTTATAGGGGGGTCGACTGTATGTATATACTTTAAGAACTTTAGAAAAAGAAAAAATTAAATTAAAACTACGTTTAAAAGTTTAGAAATTAATTGAATTTTGTACGAGTTTTTAAAGTTTAGATTATCTAAAANGGAATATTATATTCATATGTATAATATTTTTCAGAATCTTTTCAGATACAGAGAGAATCTTTAATGAATTATTACAAGACTAAAAATGCTTACATGATGTCTTTGTTGTGGAGTATAACAAGCGAAGACTTTCCCTTAAAAGACTACTTCGTCGAACTTACTGTTCAGAAAGCAGATTTATTAGGGAAAAAGGCAAGAGAAACTATTCAGTTGAGAGAGATTTTTCCAAAATCAATCCAGGGACATGTTTTGTTAGTCACTGGTAATCCCGGTTATGGCAAAACTACCTTTTGTAAGAAAATAGCCTACGATTGGGGTACCGATACATCCCGTACCGATTATTTAGGACATTACGATTTTATTGTCGTCATTACTTTGCGAGAATTAGAGAAGAAAAGTATAACAGATGAAATTCTCCAATGCATCTGTGAAAATACAGATTCCAATTCTAGAGATAAGTTAAGACAGAGAGGATTTAATATACTAATCATTCTGGATGGATTCGACGAAACAAATCATAAAGATTCCATTATACAGTTTATTGAAAAAGATTCGTTCCATATTTCTAAAGAAATGACAATTCTTGTTACTTGCCGTCCTCACGCTGCCGAAAATATAAGAAAATACGCACATATGAGATTCGCTATTCGAGGATTTTCACAAGAACAGAAAGAAAAATATATTAAATTAATTATTAATGATGATAACGGCAGACGGGATGAACTTTTAAACTTAATAAAATACAGCAATTTTCATTCCGCCTTAGCTGAATGTCCATTAATGTTGCACATGTTATGCTGTCTACCAAAAACGAAATAGTTTCACAAAATACAAACTAAAACAGATTTGTTTATTCAAATTTTTCGTCTGGTAATAAAAAGATATATGAGAAAAATGGAAGAAAAACATAATTTAAAAAAAGGAAAGTTTTTCTATGGAGAAGACTTACTAGTTAAATTGGGAGAAATACATTTGGACAAAAGATCCAAAATGAGTAAAATACATAAGTCCACATCAATGTACGAGATTCACAAATTGCTAACATTAACAGATAAACAGTTGAAGAAAAAGTTTCCGGAAGAAAAAGACTATCAATTTATATTAAGACTAGATATTTTTGCAAAGTATTTTGAGGTAGACGGAATTAGTTGTTTCGATTTTATACATAGAAGCTTTCTTGACTTTATCATTGCTCTTTGTTATTACCATTCAAAACATATCTCTCTAGATTGTGACAACGATTTTATAATTCTAAGGTTTCTCTGCGGTCTTTGTGGAGATGAAGAATTTTCAAATAATTTCATATCCGCTATTCAACAGAATGTTTTTCATCCTACATTTTGGCTCGAATGTGTTAGTGAAATTAAAAATATAACCAACAAACAATTATTCTGTTCAATCGCCAAAGTATATTTTGATTTTACCTCTTTAAAATTGATGACAATTATATTAGCGCTACCTTTCTTTCGACTTTCTCGAATTTATTTTCATTTTCCTGACACAAAATATTTGTATGAAGAAACTAAAAAACAACTAATAGACTTACACAACATATACAAAGAATCTGATAAATTGGAGATATTTCTATTTTTGGATAAAAGTATTAAATTCGTGGAAGTGGGGAGTAGCTTTGAATATAAAACCTTACCAGAAAGGATTTCTGATTTTTATCAATCTGTAGTTCTCATTCAAAATTTAATAAATAGCTTTAAATGGGATAAATTTAAAATTTTTTTTAGTGGTGTATTTTTCCTTAGATGTGTTGATCCTATTCTTCCTTACTGCATGTATAATTTTTTCGAAGTTGTCGAGAATCCTGCAGTAATTCCTGAAGATCTTGAACTAGAATTGCATGAAACAAATAAAAATCTTGTTGCTCTCCTTAGCAAAGATAAATTCATTGGAAAAGTTAAATACTTGATTTCCACTGAACAATATTTGAGTCTGAAAGATAATATCAGGCTGTCATCTGAAAATAAATGAATAGTAAATACCAAACAAAAATAACCAGTTTGGCGTAAACTATATTTGTATTGTTAATTAATATAATCATTGTGATAATCAGAATGTGATATAATCATGTTTTTTTAATTAATTTATGATCAGTGTTTTGTATAATATAAACTCAATATTTTGAACAATAAAAATTTTATACTATAATTACCTTTATAATAATGAAAAACACAAACATGCTGCCAATTTTCTCCTTCTCTCCCCTTTTTAACCACCGAAATTTAATAGCATCATTCTCCCTAATAAAGAAACGCCTTTGAAAAATTTCAGAAATTTTAGGCAAAAGATACAGGAGTTATTATGCTACAAAGTGGTTAAACAAAAACGTCCCCCCACATATATACCATTATAAAAATACACCCATTTTCTAATTTCTGAACGTTTGAAGATTCGCATTGTCTAAAAAATATAAAAATCTTACAAGAGAGTAAGTTTTAATTGATCGCTTTACTCTGTTATATACAACAGACGGAAATTTAACAATTAATACAGTAAAACCTGTTCAAAACGGAAATCTGCCTAAACGGGAAAAATTCTTCGGCACGCAGCGATTTTCTGCATTAAAAGAAGTCTGTACAAAACGGACATATACCAAATAGGAATAAGTTTGTAACGCAGTTTTTTCGTTTTTGCGGGAAATCGAATACATTTTTAGAATCATCTAAAAATTCTCTAATTAGTCTGGAAACAAGGGGACCCAATTCTTTCATTCTGTGAAAACGGATAAGGTTGTCTGTAACGTAATAATATTTATCTTAGTTATCGTTACTTTTGCCCGAGCAACGCCGTGCCCACCTGCTAGTTTATAATAATTTTCATTTAAAATATAAACACAATAATATGTATTAAGATAATTATTATGTAATATTTTGATATTTGTTAGAAATCTAAATACAAAGAAGTTATATTTCAGTATTTACCTGTCAACAGTGGTGATATCGATATATTCGAATCTTCAAATAGAACATCGGATATGGATGATGAGGGTATGTTATATTTTACATAATTAACACTGGATATTCATAAATAAAATAATTAATTATATCAGAAACAGAAATAATAATATTATAAAAAAAATTAACAAATATTACATATGTCAATATAATGTTTACAAGTTTCTATCTCTGTGAATTTTCGCTTTCTTGGAAAAGGTTCACTCAAAAAGGGACTTTCATGTGGTTCTTGGCCATTGTATTTTCGATCTGTCAAATTAAATTTAATGCCAAAAATAATTATAGAAAATAGACACTATACAGTAACTTGAAAAACTAACATTAATTTATAATAAAAAATGAAATCCCGAAACTGAATTTTTACATCGTTACATTTTAATCAATTTGTTTTAAAAACAGTGGATTGTTGCAGTGTAAATTTTGACAATATTTTCCATTTCCTTGCACAATTAATTTAAATAAATTCAATTTACTATGTCAAAAAATACAAGTACAGTACGTTTACTCTAATCGAAATACCAGGACATTCGATCCCTTGTAATCCAAACAGATTCTATTATTTANTATAAATAAAAATTAGGATTAGTATTATTTTGTATTCAATAAGAAAATAACGAAAAGATTTCATACATAAATATTTTTTACTGACCATATAGAATGTTTATTGATATACCAAATGTCTAGTCTTCCTGTTCTTGATATTATATCACAATTATATTCAATTATTTCATCCATTTTATCAAATTGTTATTGTGAAATCTATTAAAATATAATTCTTAAAATTTATATTGTAATTGAATTGAAATGAAACTTATGTTTTTAAAAATAAAAGAAATTTAGTTACTAAAATGAAATGAAAGTAAATCTAAGCTCACTGAACAGTGTGTTAAACAGAGATTTTCGTGGTGAAGCATAAAATGCCTCGAAATTAATAATCATCTCTATATTAGAAAATTAGATTGCACTAATTTGCAATAATAATTTTTAAAACACGGCAATTTAAAATAATATAACATTAAAGTTTTGTTGATTGTAACAAAAATTACAGCTCTAATTATACTTAAATTCAAAGAATATCGACAGGTTTTTACTACAGTACTTATAGAATGAACCTGATAAAATTTATGAAACAAAATTTCAAAAATTGTTCGTGGAATAACATGGTTCATCAGAGTTTTATATTTTATAAACTCATCAATATAGTTTAAAATTTGATAATAAAACTATTACTGGACAAATTATTTCTAATCTTACTTTATAAAATATGAGAAATTAGACCAGGAATATGTCGTGTTTTAATTTTATTGGATATTAAAACATTTAATAATTAATGCAGCCTTATTGTTAAAATAAAATTAATTTAATTAAGATTTGTGATCTGAAATAATTCCATTTGACAAATTTTTATTTGCAATCTTAATTTAATTCTAAAAATTATTTGTAATTTTAATTTATTTAACATCTGAAATTAATTTTGTGATTAGCATATTAAGACAAATATCCATCAAAATAAAACTTATTTGATCTGTTCATGAAAAAATAAAAAATAAAATGGTTTTGTTGTTGTATTATTTCATACAATTATCGTGTTTTAATTTTATTGGACATTTAATAATTAATACAGAAACTTTGCCTTATTCCTAAAATAAATTTACTGTAATTAAAATTTGTGATTGAAGAATTAATTATGTGATTTGAAATAATTCCATTCGACAAATTTTTATTTGCAATCTTAATTTAATTTTAAAAATTATTTGTAATTTTAATTTATTCGATAATAATTTACTCGAAAAATTAATTTTGTGATCAAAGCTTCCCAAACCAGTACTACTAGTATAAAAGGGATTATCATGGGTTGANTTTAGGGCAAATTTTTTAGGATTTTCTATAATTTTAGGTATAATAATTGAATAAATTTTTATCCTTATAAATATCTCTACATCTCCCTTAGATCTAAAAGTAATCTTAAAATCTGTATCTAAATTATATAATGATTTATCTCCTGTAATTGAATCGCTGATCAGTGATTAAGTGTATAAAGCCACTTACCTCTTCTCGTTTTCTGTGGTTCTTAGCTTACAAATGTGGGTTTTTTTTGTTTTATTTACATATATAGCAACTAAATGCGTACTGTTCCCATTGTTTTAGCTAGAATATACTGTATATAACAATGCAGATTGCTTTACTTTAAAATTTAAATTTTTACAAAGTTTAGGGCAAATTTTTTAGGATTTTCTATAATTTTTTGTAATTTTTTTCGTTAAGAAATGTTGGTAGGTGTATTTGTGTGTTCAAAATCGTATTATAATTATCGGAAAGTAGAAAATTTATTAACTCTCTGCGATATTTTCGCCTTCTTTTGCCATATATTTTTTATTAGTTTATCAACTTCTTACAGTTTTATTGTTGTGTGTGCTTGAATAGATTAAATACTATTTAACAAATTTAGTTGTTTAATAACATTGCAACATTTAAATAATTCTAACACTTATCATTTCAGCAAAAACCGACAAATTTATATAGTTTTAAACAAATAAATGTAGTAGAATTGACATAAACCGAGCTGTTTCACATTTATGAGTTGAGAGTTAATCACTTATTTTCTAATAATAAACTTTTTAATTGAGTACGACAAAAGCCTCACAGTAGAAATAAGAAAGCCAGCTGTCGTAAAGCGAGGAAAGTATTAATTTGGGTTAATCAATGAATAATAAGTAGCCAGAAATTTTCTAAGTATACGAACTACAATCTNAGAAATGGCTCAAGGGGAGACCTACGAACCACCAATCACATTCATCGTAATTGATAAACGTCATCATACACGTCTTCTTCCTACAGATCCGAGAGTCGGTGTTGATTTATATTAATAAAATATTCAGATCCAGAAAGGGTTACTGAGGTCGAAAGAACCTCAGCTCGCAGTAAGTTTCGACCATCCTCTTCAATGGCTCTAGCTTCGATAGAACAATCGGAAATTATATACGATAATTTTCTTTTACCTGATATGATGACACAGCGTCTGCAGATGGCTTTTACTGGTTTAGAGCGTCATAACTTCGCTAAACGCCCTGGAATTCAGTACTACTAGTATAAAAGGGATTATCATGGGTTGAGTAACAATTGACATATAATACACTAAATATATATAATGCTGATATAGAATATAGATAAAATGTAGTGAAGATTTTTATTTATCTCAATTAAGAGTGTATTTTCACACCGAAAGTTGAGATAACAATTGCCCAAATAGTACTAATTCCAGCTCTTTATTATGTTGTTATGTTACAACTATACATAATTCTTTTATTTTAATAAAATTCTCGTATTAATGGTGTGAGAGTCCAGATTGAAAGGGGGGTCATTTTAAAACAAATTAGGAAAAGAGAGAGAGAAAGCTTTTAATTTCAATACAAATTAAATTTTTGTAACTTTAACAAATTTTCGAATCAACGGATGTTAGAAACTTTAGATTTTGACAGGAAGTTCATTTCCTTTCTCTGATGACTAGTAAGTTGATTCAGTAACGGTTGCACACCAGACTTTGCCGGCTGTAGGCTGTCAACTTGGATAAAAGAGACAAACTTCCCGCCATTCGGGGGAATTCTCGATACGATGTCGGACAGATAGCCATACGATTCAAGGCCCCCATACAAGAGAAGGCCTTTCTACGCATTCGCCATACGAGAAATAAGAGAGAAGAAAACCGCCTCCAAAATGTGGATTATGTCGTAAGAGCGCATCCTTAGAAACGACGACTACTGAATGTTCCCATACAAGAATTGAAAAATAGTATATTAACATTTAAATTGGTGTAAACTCTCTCTTACGCGTGAGATTTAAGATAGAAAGTTGAATTTTCTCTCTCTCTCTCTCGATATAGGTCTAAATATATATATTATTTGTAATTCATTTTTATTCTACATTGTTTTGATTATTTTTGTTCCATTAAATAGTTTTGTTAGTTACCTTAAATATGGCCTTTTTGGTAATTTATATTCACACCTCTGTCTACTCAAAGCACTTGCGTTCGTCATACTCGCAATTCCGTGGTTAGGCGTGTTAATCCGCGTTAAAATACAATTAACTGGTGTCGGGAACCTCACAAGAGACACGATTGTGAAATCGTCATCTCCACCTTTTAACTAGAAACCTAAATTCCCTCCACACTCGATTTCTTTTTAAAAGATAAACCACCCTTTAGACAAAGTGAGCGGATCTTGCGATCTGTGTGAAGTAAGCGGCATAGTCAAAGACTAAGTCCCTGGCTTCTCAGAATGGTGTATCATACTTCAAATTTGTAAAAAAATACAGTTTATTTTCTATAATTTTAGGAATAATAATTGAATAAATTTCTATCCTTACAAACATCTCTACATCTCACTTAGATCTAAAAGTAATCTTAAAATCTGTATCTGAATTATATAATGATTGATCTCCTGTAATTGAATCGCNATTTTCTATAATTTTAGGAATAATAATTGAATAAATTTCTATCCTTATAAATATCTCTACATCTCCCTTAGATCTAAAAGTAATCTTAAAATCTGTATCTAAATTATATAATGATTTATCTCCTGTAATTGAATCGCTGATCAGTGATTAAGTGTATAAAGCCACTTACCTCTTCTCGTTTTCTGTGGTTCTTAGCTTACAAATGTGGTGTTTTCTGGATTTATTTACATGTATAGCAACTAAATGCATACTGTTTCCATTGTTGTTGCTAGTATATAACAATGCAGATTGTTTTACTGTAAAATTTAAATTTCTACGCGATTTAGCGCAGATTTTTAAAGATTTTGTACATATTTTGTAATTTTTTTTTGGTTTATAAGGCTTGGTAGGTGTATTTGTGTGTTTAAAATCGTATAAAAGTTATCGGAAAATAAATGATATTATCATCAACATCAATCTTCATTAACAAATCGGAATAATTTCCCTGTTACAGAGGAGTTACAATCAATATATAAAGTAATTTTACATTTATGGTTTACAATAACATTGTATTCATTACACATCCTTTTATTGTTTCCAGACTCAATCATTTATTTCACGACGTTTCTTTTATTATTATTATAAGATTTGTACAAAGTTAAAATAAATGATATTATTAACTCACTGCGATATTTTAACTTTTTTTTTTGCATTATGTTCTTTATTAGTTTATCAACTTGTTACTGTTCTATTGTTGTTGTGTGTCCTTGAATGGAATAAATACTATTTAAGAAATTTACTTGTTTAATAACATTGCAATTTTTTAAATAATTCTAACACTTTTATTATCATTTTAGGAAAAACTTACAAAATTATGTAGTTCCAAACAAATAAATGTAGTAGAATTGACTTTTCTTATCTAACAAGACCCGTCGTAAAACGAGCTGTTTCATATTTATGAGTTGATAGTTACACATTTATTTTCTGATAATAAGTTTTTTTTTTTAAATTAATTACGACAAAAGGCTCACATATAACATAATGGATTTAAATATAGCATTTAATATGGACCAAATAAAACTTTTCATATCGGTAGTAAAAGCGAGCGGACGTAAAGCGAGGAAAGTATTCATTTGGGTTCATCAGTGAATAATAACTAGGCAGAAAGTCGCTAAGTATACGAACTGCAATCTGTGTCAGTTTTCTTAACAAATTTCAGGGATTTTGCTGGAAATCTTCTTTGTTTAGGAAGTGGATATAAGTAACTTGAAGGCATACGGTGTTAAAATTCTGTTCGATAAAAGATACGTTGAAGTAAATACGTAAATGAAGAGTAGTAGACATTTGTGACTAAAAAGTATAACTTAGTAGTAAATCCGATGAAAATAGTTGTAATACAGTGGAATATAGGGGAGATCGGGGCAAGATCGGCATGTTAAAATTTACTTAAATTTTGTGTAATAAATACTGCTGTAAACTGAAAAAAACCTTTTGCATATTGTCTATTGGAATGTTACCTTACTATACATCTGGTTAAAATCAGTTTGGACATAAAAATAATTAAAATAATTACAACTTTACAAGAAGAGAGAAATTGACGAAGTTGCCCCGGGTATAGGCGCAAGATCGGCAACTTCTCTTTTTTTGTAANTTTCCATTTCCTTGCACAATTAATTTAAATAAATTCAATTTACTATGTCAAAAAATACAAGTACAGTACGTTTACTCTAATTGAAATACCAGGACATTCGATCCCTTGTAATCCAAACAAATTCTATTATTTACCTAAAATATAACACTTGTTAATTGTAAACTTGAAGCTCGCGTAGAGTAACCCTAAGTAACGTGTTGTGAGCATTGCTACTAACTTCTTCTGTGACCCTCTTTAACATTCTAACCTTGTTTTTCTACTGTATATTATCTACCGAATTCTGTTTTATATGCTAAAAACATATGAAACACATAAAAGAGGTGCGGTTTTCGCTACGTATTAAGCGTATTTAATCAATAAGTTTATGACTAATAAGTCAGATTATTTTCAGATAATTTTGAACCATATAAAGTCACACTCAAGTAACATTATGGAATAGACAAGACTTATATGAAATCTTTATTATGGGACGATATAGGAAAAGATTCACTTGTACTGGAAATAAATCATTCAAGAAATTCAATAGGCAAGGCTATTAAAATCAAGAATATATTTAAGGAAGTGAGCAATGGACATAGATACATTCTTATATCTGGAAATCCAGGTTTTGGCAAAACTGTGTTATGCATTCAGATTGCATACGATTTTTGGACTAATGAAAATTCCTCAGAAAATTACCTTAGTCACTTTGACTTTGTCATTGTCGTTACATTAAAGGAGGTTGTTGACAAAAGTATAGCAGATGCAGCTCTAGAAGCTATTTGCTAAAAACCAGAAGCAAAAGTGAGAAGAAACATATTAAAAGCTAATTTAAATTTATTAATTATTTTAGACGAATACGAAAGTAGTTATGAAGATTCTATAATGTAGTTTATCAGAAAAGATTCCTTTGATATATCTGGTAAAATGACGATTCTTCTAATAAGCCGTCCTCACGTTTATGAATAAGAAAAATTATACATTCGCAATTTCTATTTATTACACTCGAACAACAAAAAGAATACATAAGTTCAATGTTCAAACAATCAAAAAACATAATACACAAACTGCATAATACACTCAATTGTTCTTTTACAGCGTGTCCATTGATGTTATATATGCTCTGTTGCTTACGTTTGAGTAATCAATTGGAAACTTTCGATAGAAAGACAGATTTGTACATCCAAATATTTGAATTACTTATCAAGAGATTTATAAGAAAGAATGGTAAACGTCAAACTTTAAAAGAGAGAAAGTAATTTTTTAGTGAAGATATTTTAGTTAAATGAGGGAAATTTATGTTTGAAAAACATCTGAGATTAGAAGATATAAGTAACTTCCGTTATACAGAAACAATCCAAAGAATTACAATAGAGGATTTAAAAGAATGTTTCCTCGATAACAAAGAGATTATTTTCTGTTTAAAGTTTTTTGTTCAGTGTTCCTTCACAATAACTTTATGAATATAAAAATGTGAACGACTGTACTATATAAATTAAGAGAATTTTCGTTTATTAATTGCATCTATGAACGTCATTTTATTAAATTTCTTAAAAATAAAACAGTTAATGTGTGGGCTTTCTAATATTTCTTATCTGATATGTTCTGAAGCTATTTTCACAGTAGTTTTCAAGTTTATGATNAGAATGGTGTATCATACTTCAAATTTGTAAAAAAATACAGTTTATTTTCTATAATTTTAGGAATAATAATTGAATAAATTTCTATCCTTACAAACATCTCTACATCTCACTTAGATCTAAAAGTAATCTTAAAATCTGTATCTGAATTATATAATGATTGATCTCCTGTAATTGAATCGCTGATCAGTGATTAATTGTATAAAGCCACTTACCTCTTCTAGTTTTCTGTGGTTCGTAGTTTAAAAATGTGGTGTTTTTTTTGTTTTATTTACATATATAGCAACTAAATGCGTACTGTTCCCATTGTTTTAGCTAGAATATACTGTATATAACAATGCAGATTGCTTTACTTTAAAATTTAAATTTTTACAAAGTTTAGGGCAAATTTTTTAGGATTTTCTATAATTTTTTGTAATTTTTTTCGTTAAGAAATGTTGGTAGGTGTATTTGTGTGTTCAAAATCGTATTATAATTATCGGAAAGTAGAAAATTTATTAACTCTCTGCGATATTTTCGCCTTCTTTTGCCATATTTTTTTTATTAGTTTATCAACTTCTTACAGTTTTATTGTTGTGTGTGCTTGAATAGATTAAATACTATTTAACAAATTTAGTTGTTTAATAACATTGCAACATTTAAATAATTCTAACACTTATCATTTCAGCAAAAACCGACAAATTTATATAGTTTTAAACAAATAAATGTAGTAGAATTGACATAAACCGAGCTGTTTCACATTTATGAGTTGAGAGTTAATCACTTATTTTCTAATAATAAACTTTTTAATTGAGTACGACAAAAGCCTCACAGTAGAAATAAGAAAGCCAGCGGTCGTAAAGCGAGGAAAGTATTAATTTGGGTTAATCAATGAATAATAAGTAGCCAGAAATTTTCTAAGTATACGAACTACAATCTGTAAATCCTTCAGGCAATTTTCTATAAATCTTCTCTGTTTAGGGAGAGGATATCAGTAACTTGAAGGTATACGATGTCAAAATTCTGTTCGATAGAAGATACGCTGAAGTAAGGTAATATGTAAATGAAAAGTAGTAGACATTTGTGACTGAAAAGTATAACTTAGTAGTAAATCCGATAAAAATAGTTGTAATACCGTGGAATATAGAAGCTTATAAAGTTTAAAAGTAGCAATAACTTTGCTTATTCATTTACAGTTACACAAGAGGTGCACAACGAGTTTTCACTTGTTTCTAAATGTTCATCGCCAGATTCATAATCCTCATATTATGTCAGTTATAAATTAGAAATATCAGACATTCTGAAAATATAATTACTTTAATTTTAAGAATTTACGTTATTGTTGAAACCTCCTTTCGTACTAATCAGTGAAGAACAGAATTACAGCTCAGTTATTAGTAGGTAACTTGTAATTGTATAAATTTTAGTGAAAACACCTAAATTAAATTGGGTAAAAAAATAGTGATCTACTGAAAATATGGCCCAATAAATTCTGATAGTTTAATGCAATATTTTGAATATTCCCGATTCTGTAGGTGTGGGATCTACACCATACACACACTTCTCTGTTTTCATATTATCGATTTTTAATAACTTAGGTAAGTGACTTAATGAAGGTAAGGGTTAAGTACAAAACTCTTACTTTTACACGTAAATTTTCACTGAAATTAAACTACCGTATACTTCTGTAATCCACACTTTTATATTACAAATTTAACAAATTTTGAATTATTTTTTTTCTTTTGGAGATAATCAACCGAAGTCGCAGTCCCAATCTGCTGTATTGCCTGGAAGTAGTCAGGTGTCAGCTGCATCTGGATCTAGACAAAATGAAAGACCTACAACCAGTACACAAGCAGCCAGAGCAGCACCCGCTGGAACTATTCAAGAGGAACAACAGACAGGTGCGTATAGGTTTACTTAATTAACAGTCTTTTATATATAATAACAATTTATATTAATAAAATATTCAGATCCAGAAAGGGTTACTGAGGTCGAAAGAACCTCAACTCGCAGAGAGGGTGGACAACCATCTTCAATGGCTCTGGCTTCGATAGAACAATCAGAAACTAAAGTCGAGTTTCTTTCACGTGCTATGAAGAGACTGGGTCTAGAGATGACTTTTACTGGTTCTGAGCGTCATAAATTCGCTAAGCGACCTGGAATTGGATTACAAGGTAAAAAGATCGATTTAATAGCAAATTACTTTCCGATAGACATACCAGAAGGCGAAATATACCATTATGACGTACATATTGAAAAGCTTGTACCTGTAAAGGATGCGGGTGACAGCGAAGGTCTGCCCAAACATAAAAAGTACAAATGCCAAAATACAAAACAAAAGAGAAATGTTATAGAAGCGATGATTAGGGATGTGGCCATGTTTAAAAATATTCTACCAGCATTTGACGGTGAAAAAAATTTATATACTAGAAACTTACTACCATTCAAAAAAGAGAAAACATTTACTGTAAAACTTACGGACGACTTTAATCCAAAAGACAAGATAAGTTACGAAATCCAAATGAAACCGGTGAATAGAAAAGATACAATGAAGAGATCGGCAGAAAACTCAATTAATTTAGAACCATTACATCAGTTGTTAGCTGGAAGATGCAGTGATATAACGGAGGGTATCTTAATGGGAATCATGGCGATAGAAACCATACTAAGACACGGTCCTGCCTTACGATTGGTGCCAGTTGGAAGATCATTCTTCACCAAACCACATTCGGACGAAGTTCCGCTTTTGAGTGGAGGAAGAGAAATTTGGTTCGGTCACCATCAAAGTATGCAACTGTGCCAATGGAAACCTATGCTTAACATAGATAAATCAGCAACAACCTTTTATAAAAGCTGTTCCGTTATCGAGTTTATGTTCGAAGTGTTAAATATGAGTACTGAAAACATCGAGTTGTCTTTAAGACAGTTCAGAAGTCTGACCGATGCCGAAAGGAGGACATTAGCCAAAGAAATGAAGAACTTAAGAGTTGAAGTAACTCATTTGCCTTATCCTCGAAAGTATCGAGTTCGAGATATAACAAGAGAAAATGCAAATAATACATTTTTCATCAGAAAAATTGATAACGAAGATGTTAGATGTTCGGTATCTGAATATTTTCGTACCACATATAGAAAATTACAATACCCAAACTTACCTTGTTTAAACGTGGGAAGTGAAAAAAAAGCTGTGCATTTGCCAATGGAGGTGTGCAATATTGTTGAAGGGCAACACTGCAATAAGAAGCTGACTGAAAAACAAACATCTGATATGATTCGCTACACGGCTCGTCCTCCTGCCCAGAGGTTCAATGATATAAAAGAATCAATTAATGCTGTCTTGAAAGATTTCGAACCGTTCTCCAGAGAATTTGGCATTCGGGTAAGTCCGAAACCCGTAAATTTTACAGGCAGAGTATTAAATGCTCCACAAATAACGTATCAACAAAATCAGGCCATCACACCTTTCAACGGAAGCTGGGATATGAAAGGCAAAAGATTTTTTACAGGAGCAAGTATAGAAAAATGGATGCTGCTCAGCTTCTCGACTGCTAGATTCTGCGACGAAAATGCTCTGGATAATTTTGTGAGAATGCTTATAAACGGTGGAAGAAACGTAGGAGTATATTTTGCATTACCCCTCGTAACTAAACGCTTTACCCATCGCGNATATTTTATAAGTTTAGAAATGTGGAAATCGAAAATATATAATCGTAGTCGAGCGTATATATCAGTAGAAAATATAAATATTGCATTAAAATAACACACTTTGCTGAAAGTCTGAAATGAAAGAGTAATTGAATCGAGTCCCGCCGCCATATTGATTAGCGCGCGACGATTATGAGCGCGTCGCGTTGCACCAAATTAAATAATTTATAAAAATTGAAATAATAAACACGTATATAAAATAATTTACTATTTCTGTTGGAAATAATATCGTAAAACACACTGCACTTATAGTTTAGCATTTCCGATAATATTTTATTAATTTTTAAATTTTATTTTATTTTATATGTAAAAATCGAAGAAAAAAACATAAATGAGTAAAACTTAATAAGAAAAATATCTGCATCTTAAGAAAACACATAAACATAAGAATACATCACAAAAAATAGTTAATAATAATTAGAATCGAGAAAAAAAAATAAAACTTTCAAGGTAAGGAAATTTCTGTGGTAAAAAGTGAGGTGAGCGATCACGTGACGCCCGTCTCCCCACCATCAGTAACCGAAGCGCACGAGGTTGAAGTAAAAGCAATAACAACAGTGGAAGTAAAAACAGTCATCGGCGCGTGTCTAGGTCAGTGAACTTGAATGGGAGCGACGATGAAACACGACACTTTGTGATTTATTCTAATTATTTTCTAATATTAAAAAATATTGCTTGTAAATTTTAAATTGTTTAGATATTATTTAAATTAATTATTTAATAATTAGCGTAATTTATATGTAATTAATAGTAAAAAAATATATGACCTCCGAATTATTTTCTTATCTTTTTACTTTTTGATGTCGTTTCGATTGTAGTTTCGTTTTTGGTTTTGATTTCGTTTTCGTTTCTGCTTTGGAGAAGTTCCGAAGGAAAGTCCGAAAATAAAGGGAGAAAGGTAGAAAAGATAAAGGCAAGTACCTATTTACTTATAATAATCAACGTATAAAGTAAATAAAATAAGTATTAAACGTGACATTCACCTTATTTCAGATAACTTATTCTAATTATATACTAACTCGTATTAAATTTTGCGTGTCTAAAGTCCGTTTTATCATGCATAGCTGACTAAATGCTATTGTAATTTTCAATAATTTTTGCACAATTTTAATCTAAACTGTGCAAAAAATCTGTATAAAATATAACAGTTTTTGTTTATATTAAATTAAACTGGCACATTTTATAAAAAGGCTGTTCATTAAANACCACATATAGAAAATTACAATACCCAAACTTACCTTGTTTAAACGTGGGAAGTGAAAAAAAAGCTGTGCATTTGCCAATGGAGGTGTGCAATATTGTTGAAGGGCAACACTGCAATAAGAAGCTGACTGAAAAACAAACATCTGATATGATTCGCTACACGGCTCGTCCTCCTGCCCAGAGGTTCAATGATATAAAAGAATCAATTAATGCTGTCTTGAAAGATTTCGAACCGTTCTCCAGAGAATTTGGCATTCGGGTAAGTCCGAAACCCGTAAATTTTACAGGCAGAGTATTAAATGCTCCACAAATAACGTATCAACAAAATCAGGCCATCACACCTTTCAACGGAAGCTGGGATATGAAAGGCAAAAGATTTTTTACAGGAGCAAGTATAGAAAAATGGATGCTGCTCAGCTTCTCGACTGCTAGATTCTGCGACGAAAATGCTCTGGATAATTTTGTGAGAATGCTTATAAACGGTGGAAGAAACGTAGGAGTATATTTTGCACCACCCCTCGTAACTAAACGCTTTACCCATCGCGATGGAAGGCCAGCAGATTTACTTAGACGAGCAAAGAATATGTATAAAGATCTGCAATTAGCCGTAATAGTGCTGCCAGCAGGAAATATCTACTCGGAGATAAAAACTGTTGCAGAAACAGAACTAGGTCTTATGACGCAGTGTATAAAGGACGTAAACGCCACGGGTAGAAAATGTAACCCTCAGTTAATATGTAATTTATGTCAGAAAATTAATGCTAAAATGGGCGAGGTTAACAATTCTTTATCGCAAGCAGACAAACCTGCAATTTTCAAGAAACCTGTAATCATCGTAGGGGTGGACTGCACCCATCCCGCTCCAGGTGACAAAACAGGGTATTCGATAGCAGCAGTAGTGGGAAGTCTGGATTCGTATCCTAGCAAATTTACGGCTTCTGTTCGACTACAGCATAAGAGACAGAAGGTAGAAGGCAAAACATACGGACAGGATATTGTGATCGATCTGAAGGAGATGATGAAAGAAATTTTGCTGGAATTTTTCAAAACAACGAAAGGAAAAAAACCGGAAAAAATTATTATTTTTAGAGACGGAATTAGCGAAGGCGAATACCAGAATGTGATGGAGTACGAAATGAGAAAAATTAGAAATGCCTGTAAAGAAATGGCTCAAGAAGAGACCTACGAACCACCAATCACATTCATCGTAATTGATAAACGTCATCATACACGTCTTCTTCCTACAGATCCGAGAGACGGTGTTGGAAGACCTGGAAATGTCCCACCCGGTACTATAGTGGATACTAACATCGTACATCCGTTTTTCTACGATTTCTTTTTATGCAGTCATATAGGCATACAAGGGACAAGCAGACCTTCCCACTACACGGTTCTTTGGGACGACAATAACTTCACAGCTGACCAGCTTCAGCTGTTAACTTACTCTTTATGCCACACTTACGTAAGATGTACCAGGAGCATATCCGTACCGTGTCCGGTTATGTATGCTCACCTTGCGGCATTCAGAGCAAAACATTACCTAATAGCCAAAACTGAAGATGTATCGAGTAGCGAAACCTCCGAAAGCGAAGGCGAAGAGGTAATTATACCAGAAAGCATGAAAGAAGCCATTAGAGTAGTTAAATCTATGCAAAATCGAATGTATTTTGTATAAATTTTCATGCTAATGTTTAACATTTTATCAAAAACACTAACGATATATTGTACTCGAACAATCTCTTTTTACATACTTTTTGCATACATAGAGTTATATATTTTTAATTTTAAATTAGTCATAAAGTCTTTCTGATAGAAATGACGACATTTATAGTGATGATAAAGAATGTGACTTTGTAAGTACAAAGTCTAAGTATTTTTAAGTAATTCTTTTAACATAGAATAAATGGTTATTTGATTGAAACATAATTTGTTTTTTAAAGTTAATTTTTATATAAATGATTTACTTACGAATTTCTGACTGCGGTCTTTAAAAACATAAGAAATTATTAATTAACTAGACATAAATAGTAACCATAATCTTATCTTTATACATTTGAAAAAACACGTATAGAAGTTAATACCCGTTCAAATAAAATAAATATTAATGGTAAAAGAACGCAATCTCAATGCATAACACTATACAGTTATACTGCGGACTAGATTTACTATAAATTCAATTTAGTCACTCCATGAAAAAACACAAAAAAGAACAATATACAAAACTTGTGTAAAATTTGTAATTGGGCTGCAATTTGAAAGAATTGTGTACCTCTAAATTTCGACTGAAGTCGTGGATTTCTTAATCACACCAGACACAATAGGTTACAAACGCGTAATACCGAGGTATGAAACAAAGACACGATTCCAGTACTTAATAAAGGCAAACTGATTATTATCAAAGAATATTTGGTACAAACTAAAGGTATATTATAAACGCTATCCTATATAAATAGTAAATTACATACTAAATATCACAAAGACATTGGCAGTAAGTATATCAATGATAAACTGTGGAAGTTACAGTACATTACATCAAGCACAAATGATAATGTTAAACAGAACAGGAGTGTAGTGTTCATGTTTCTATTCGAATTGATTCTGAACGTACTCAGTTGATAGAAGCTATTTTCTCTTTTTAGAAATTAAATTGTTTAAAATTTATAATTTTTGGTAAAAACTTACATTAAACGAGTAATTATTTATTATGTAATTGTCGTTGAAGGGCAACACTGCAATAAGAAGCTGACTGAAAAACAAACATCTGATATGATTCGCTACACGGCTCGTCCTCCTGCCCAGAGGTTCAATGATATAAAAGAATCAATTAATGCTGTCTTGAAAGATTTCGAACCGTTCTCCAGAGAATTTGGCATTCGGGTAAGTCCGAAACCCGTAAATTTTACAGGCAGAGTATTAAATGCTCCACAAATAACGTATCAACAAAATCAGGCCATCACACCTTTCAACGGGAGCTGGGATATGAGAGGCAAGAGATTTTTTACAGGAGCAAGTATAGAAAAATGGATGCTGCTCAGCTTCTCGACTGCTAGATTCTGCGACGAAAATGCTCTGGATAATTTTGTGAGAATGCTTATAAACGGTGGAAGAAACGTAGGAGTATATTTTGCACTACCCCTCGTAACTAAACGCTTTACCCATCGCGATGGAAGGCCAGCAGATTTACTTAGACGAGAAAAGAATATGTATAAAGATCTGCAATTAGCCATAATAGTGCTGCCAGCAGGAAATATCTACTCGGAGATAAAAACTGTTGCAGAAACAGAACTAGGTCTTATGACGCAGTGTATAAAGGACGTAAACGCCACGGGTAGAAAATGTAACCCTCAGTTAATATGTAATTTATGTCAGAAAATTAATGCTAAAATGGGCGAGGTTAACAATTCTTTATCGCAAGTAGACAAACCTGCAATTTTCAAGAAACCTGTAATCATCGTAGGGGTGGACTGCACCCATCCCGCTCCAGGTGACAAAACAGGGTATTCGATAGCGGCAGTAGTGGGAAGTCTGGATCCGTATCCTAGTAAATTTACGGCTTCCATTCGAGTTCAGCATAAGAAACAGAAGGTAGAAGACAAAAAATATGGACAGGATATTGTGATCAATTTGAAAGAGATGATGAAAGAAATTTTGCTGGAATTTTTCACAACAACAAAAGGAAAAAAACCGGAAAAAATTATTTTTTTCAGAGACGGAATTAGCGAAGGCGAATACCAGAATGTGATGGAGTACGAAATGAGAGAAATTAGAAATGCCTGTAAAGAAATGGCTCAAGGGGAGACCTACGAACCACCAATCACATTCATCGTAATTAATAAACGTCATCATACACGTCTTCTTCCTGCAGATCCGAGAGACGGTGTTGGAAAACCCGGAAATGTCCCACCCGGTACTACAGTGGATACTAACATTGTACATCCGGTTTTCAACGATTTCTTTTTATGCAGTCATATAGGCATACAAGGGACAAGCAGACCTTCCCACTACACGGTTCTTTGGGACGACAATAACTTCACAGCTGACCAGCTTCAGCTGTTAACTTACTCTTTATGCCACACTTACGTAAGATGTACCAGGAGCATATCCGTACCGTGTCCGGTTATGTATGCTCACCTTGCGGCATTTAGAGCCAAACAATACCTAATAGCCAAAACTGAAGATGTATCGAGTAGCGAAACCTCCGAAAGCGAAGGCGAAGAGGTAATTATACCAGAAAGCATGAAAGAAGCCATTAGAGTAGTTAAATCTATGCAAAATCGAATGTATTTTGTATAAATTTTCATGCTAATGTTTAACATTTTATCAAAAACACTAACGATATATTGTACTCGAACAATCTCTCTTTACATACTTTTTGCATACATAGAGTTATATATTTTTAATTTTAAATTAGTCATAAAGTCGTTCTGATAGAAATGACGACATTTATAGTGATGATAAAGAATGTGATATTGTAAGTACAAAGATTAAGTATTTTTATGTAATTCTTTTAACATAGAATAAATGGTTATTTGATTGAAACATAATTTGTTTTTTAAAGTTAATTTTTATATAAATGATTTACTTACGAATTTCTGACTGCGGTCTTTAAAAACATAAGAAATTATTAATTAACTAGGCACAATGAGTAATTAAAATCTTAACTCTATATATTTGAAAAACACGTGTAGAAGTAAATATCCGTTCAAGTAAAATAAATATTTTAATGGTAAAAGAACGTAAATTCAATACATAACGTTATACAGCTATACTGTGGATTAGATTTACCATGAATTCAATTTAGTCACTTCATGTAAAACAAGGATTGAGATTGTTAAAAAAAAAGAACAATACAAAAAAGTTGTGCAAAATCTGTAATTGGGCTGCACTTTGAAAGAATTGTATACTTTTAAATTTAGACTGAAAAAGTGGATTTCTTAATCACACCAGATACAATAGGTTACAAACACGTAGTACCGAGATATGAAACAAAGACACGACCCCAGTACTTCATAATGGCAAACTAATTGTTATTAAAGAATGTTTGGTACTTACTAAAGGTATATTATTAATGCTATTCTGTATAAAAAATAAATAAATTACTAAATACCATAATGATATTTTATAGAAAGACATTGGCAGTAAGTATATATAAGTGATAAACTGTGAAAGGTACAGTACAGTACAGTACATCTTATGTGTAAGCACAAACGACAATGTTAAAAGGAACAAGAGTGTAATGTTCATGTTTCTATTCGAATTGATTTTGAACGTGCTGAGTTGATGGAAGCTATTTTCTCCTTTTAAAAATTAAATTGTTTAAAGTCTGTAATTTTTGCTAAAAACTTACATTAAACGAGTAATTATTTATTATGTCATTGTCACAATGCTGACCCGCAATTTGTAATCATATATTTACTTTAATTTAAAATATATGCTCTGCACCTCAAATTACAGTGTGAGGTATTATAAACATTAGTGGGTCTACAATTATTTTAAATTGCAGCCAGTAATATTTACAGTTTTTTACACATATTTGCATGTTGATGTATAAAGTGGTTCTTTCAGACTGATTTATTATTTTGATAATTTATACTTACACTTTTATATTATTTTGAATATATCATGCATTATTATCCAATTGTTAAAGTAATTCTTTAATCGTAGACCTGTGCTAGACCGTTAAAAACTTTACTTCCTTTTAATGTATTATTATTGTAATTATAAAAGTTATAAATTCAAGAACAAATGTGTCTAAAAGCTTTAAGACAGCTGTTTTTTAAAAACTGAAGTTTGTATGAATCACGTACAGAATACAGTTTAACCTCGATATAACGTATAGGATGAACTTTATATTAGATGTGTTAAGAGAGACAACAGATCTAAATGTTATGAACAGGGGGGAACGTAATACCTCTAAGAATTAGCATTATTCGAATTCTGATATTCTCGAAAATCCACATTGTCTACATAGTGTGACTATGTCGGTTAGGTTGTGTAGTGTTTATATTTCGACATGAGGTTATAAGATACTTTATAACCATTACAATATGAAGAATGAGATATTAAAATCATTATTGCAAAACAGTAGTATTGTCGTATATTTTACAATTTGTGTCTCTAAAATTGGCAATAAATCGAGTCTGGCGCTAAACCAAAGTACGTAAACGATAACTTTTATATAATTCTATTTGGTTGGTGTTTGAGAATTTAAAAAGTCACTTGATTTAGTGGTAAATGCAGTTTTACTAAAGCTACTTTCTTCTATGGAATCACACATGCAGAACATTGTAAACTTTGTGTTAGTAAGGAGACAATTTCGCTTTAGAAGGAGGCGATAAATCGAGATTTGGTTGTATAAACACGCAGGTATATACAGTATTTACAAATATATGTGTATCTATAATACATATGTATGCATATACACACATTAAAATAATATAGAACTGTTAGTAGTTGCAATGTTAGATTTTATCTAAAATAACATCGAAATGTTCATCAAAATATTTAACTAAAAATTATCATATCTTTATAATAAGTAATACTTGTATAATGCATGGTTAAGTATATGTAAAATGAGAAACAGTTCCTTCTAGATAATAACAGTAAATGTAATAGACAAAGAAGTGCAACTAGGATACGCGAGAGAGTGTTATTTCAAGAATTCCTACTTGAAGATCAGGGTTTTGCAGTTGTAGACGATACCACCCACGAGTCATCACTACAACCAAAAACTCCCAGATATTTAATCTGTTTAACACTTTCAGGCAGGTTTTCACAATAACACGTATACCAGTAACAATAGCCGTGCTGTCCTCCTAAGATCAATCAAAATTCCCTACATTTATCGTTATCCTCGCCATAGTAACGTTAGTACGCTACGTACAATTTTATCTGTTGACAGGATAGGCACTCGAAACACCGCTTCCTTTGACTTTTACACATGTATAACGAAACAAATAAATAATGGTACCTTGTTACGACATTGTTTCTTATAGAAAATGCGAAACAATGTGTTTGAATAACACACAACTTCACTAAAAATTCGATGTGCTGTTTATATATCTGTAAGACGAAAAAGTATTCTTCGATCCAAAAGTCATTTGACCAACTGTTTAATAATCGTATATGTCCAAGTACAGGCGTTTCTATATTTTATATTAAGAACAAATAAACAATAACTGAATTGCCATACGTGGAGACTAATATGTAATTATATAAGCACGACCGAAAATTAGTTAACCAATTATTAATACGTCTGAGTTTTATTCGTTTCAGGTAATAGAAACATTATATTGAATATTTTCTACATTGATAGAAATAACTGGTATTATGAAACAGGAAAAACACTGTGTTGTAAAGTCTGTCTAATTATTTATCAATTGATTCATTAAATTGTTTACAATAGCAGATAAGTTTCTAAAGTTCGTGCCTATCGATATAATCCTAATTCAATAGCGAAGTTGAAGCAGAAGTTTTAAACGCGAAAACGTATACTGTCATTGTAAATTTTATTTTCGGCATAGCGGAAAACTGTATATTTTGTTTTATTTTATAGATCAATAGATATTTAATTGTACTTGAAATATTATAATTGTACCTTTTATGTGAGTTCAGTATCTGTATGCACAATATAGCCTACATACATTCAAATATGAAAAAATAACAATAATCAATATGTCATTTTTCTGCATAATGCTAGATATTAATATTGTATAATGCAAATGTAATATTACTTGAAAGGAATTGTCAACCAATTTTTTTCTAAATATTTTACAAGTTTTTAATGTTAAGCAGAAAAATATCTTTTCAGGACATCTCTTGGCATTATTTTTTTGTGTTTTTAAAAACACAATTGAACATAACTGCTACTTGTTTTTCATTTGAATCCATAAATATCTGCGTAGACCAAACCAATAAACACTGGTAATTAGTCTTAAAGCGGTTGAATACTTTAACTAATTGGTGTTTTACTACATTACTGAGTTTAAGCACTGTGAGTAACTGTGCACTAGATATATAATACGAGATAAATAGTTTATAGTATTTCAAACATTTAAAAGACTCTATTTATTATGGTAAAAAGAACAAAAATTACGACTTTTATATGTCACCTGACGAAACTACATTTACCACATTATCGTTCTCTTCTATTGTTTTTTTAATAACATAATATTAAAATGCATTATAATTCGACATGTTTTTAATTTATTTCAACATATTTTTGAATTATTTGAAATGTGTTTAATTGTTACTTTTATTAATATAGGCCTATACTTTAATTATTGCATTAAATTATTATAATAAAATTACGTACTGAAAATTGTTGGTTTAATCAAGCCATGGTATTTTAGTACTTATTTCATTCGTGATTTCAAAGATCACTTTTTGTTGTTTTATATTATAAAATATCGAACAGTAAATAAAAATATATTAGTAACAATTCACATGTTACATTAGCCTATGAACTTCACGACATTTGTAACATTCTTGTTGATACGATAGAAAAATTAAATAAATTCGAGGAAAAAAATTAAAAACATGGCTTTTATAAATTAAATATATTTTATAAATAAGAACACCACACAAAAAATTCTAAATATTTATTTAATGTTTACAATTGTAAATGTATGTATATGATACAAGATTTCCATTCCCATTTAACGGTATAACTCAGATACACAAAAATAAAATATATAAATGTAAAAGTGTAAAAAAGCCATTAATGATCATTATAAAAATTTGATAACATAACAATAGGATATAAATATTAAACAATAAAAATTATAAAATATTCGCGTACTAAATTTTCAATATTTATGATATTAGAAAAAATGCGATATAAGTATGATTATTATTTATTATGTATTAGGCTATATTAAAAATTTTTTGAGTAATTCAATTTTGAGTCAATAGCACGAAACAACGTACTATTGTGTTTTCTCTTTTTCTTCGTTTACCTTAGGTCTGCAAACGTAAGATTTATAAAACAATTGGGTAAACAAATACAAATATGACAGAGCTACAACAAAGCAGAATTTTAAAATATCAAAAGGAGTGTCGCATTGATATTCATTTAAGAGCAACCAATAAATCCAACATGTAAGCATTACTCCAAACAACATATGAGCAACTTGAAACCCCGTAATGAACATGGCAATTGTCGAAGAAATTTTAATCCCCATGCATTTTACAGTAAAATAGGTATACATTAATGAATGTACAAAGAGATTAACGTAGATAATCATGACTAGATAGCTCGATTCTTTGTAAGAAGCATACCATGACATAATCAACATAGTAGGATGATGATAACTGTAAAGAAACATCAATTTTCTTTTATGAAGTATTATCATAATCGTATCTCCCAATTCCCAAAGTTTCGAAAACACAAACAGTGCAACCCAAAACAGAATCGGTGGTGTATTTTCTACAATACTTTTGTTACAAACTATTTCGTAAAAAGTAAAATGTTTAAATTGTTCGAACAATATTGGAATTAATCTGATTGAGCTGCAAATACTGTAAACAGCCAAAATCCCGTTCCATATGGTGAATGCACGGTTGAAGTTATAAGAAGGTCGATCTTTCATGTAACGCTGAAGGATCTTGATGGCCAGTACATACAAAATGGATATGAAAATGGAATAATGCCAGTAAGTGCGAAAGAAATTTCTTAGAGCATCAGCAGTGAAAACTGTTTCGAAAAAGAAAGCTTCAACTGTAATCGTTTTGTTGTAATTTTTCATTTTTGGATAACGTCGTAATGATAAGATCAAATCAAACAGTTGAATAAAATCTATATTGGATTAAATCCTGTTAAAAAAAATAACCACATAAATTATCAATGTTATATATTATTCATTTTAAAACAGGTATTGCAATATTTAACTGATTTATATAAGTAATTATCCATAAATGAACCTTCAAAAGTGTTAGGTATATCTTTCATTTTTAGCATTTACGAGTACAGTCGACCCCCCTATAATTACGGTCCCTATAATTACGATTCCTATAAAACTACGAAAAAATATACGTATTTTGGAAATGTTGAGTCGGATTAGTGTAGAATTGATTAATTTTATGGAAGAAAACCTTTCAATCAGCCGTAGTCCGTAAACTTGACACGTGTCGGGCTGTGATTGGAACGACTTGTAAGAAATCGGATTCCTAATAAATTGGAACGTATCTATATCTTATAGGGGGGGTCGACTGTATAGAATTTTACTACTGGTTAGAAATTATATTTACAGTAAACAAATTAATAGTATATTTTTACTTTGTAAAGATCGAAATTGTATTTAAGATGTATTCTCTGAAGTATAATTCTTTTTCATTGTGATGAGTTCAGAGAAGATTTTTAACCCTTGTACTATCAACTTTTTATTGTTACCCTGCATAACACGGCGTCAAGGATAGCCCCAATAGTTTTTAATAACATATTTACGTAGATTTCAATTGTACGGTTTTATTTCTACTTAAACTGAAATTATAAAGTGTTATGTAACTTATTTTTTATTATACAGAAATAATATATATGTGTTATTTTGATGCAACAGTAGTGAAATTTACATTTTACTGCGGTTGCTAATTATATAATATTACATTAATTAATACAAGTTTTGTATTAATGGCAGTGTTATTAATGTAGATAAACGCTTTTCAAGACAGGAGACAGGAATAGCGATGGAATGTTTCAGATATTGCTTTAGCCACTTCTACACAGCTTATAACCTATCAACCAGTCTGTGGTAATTTGGAGTAACACAAATAAAACGAGATTTACACCATCCAGTTACTTACCAGAAATGTTGAGGCTGTAGTAAAATTTAAGATTATTTTTCTTCTATTGAATTAGAATATTTGCATCAAACTTGGTATTTTTTTTTTTTTTGTCAACTGAACAAAAACAAACATAATACTAAGTTAGTTTATAGAAAAACCCTATTTGAGATAATTCTAATTAAGTTTACATGGCATTATAGTCTTTATTCATCAGCATACCCTTGTACTATATCAGCTTTATTGTGTCAGCTCCCTTTGACATCTATTCTATTATATATAAGCAGAGTCGCTAGATTAACTGGTTCTTCCTCTAATAGTTGAAACTTAGTTAGAGTTAATATTTGCCACTAGTAATTAAAGAATATAGAAAGTCAAAATACCAGTTAATCTACCGACTCTGGTTTAAGTAAGCACATAAGCACGTCTTCTCCTTTATACCTTATAAACAGATAATCCTATTATTTGTTTAATCTATTATTACTTTATATTAATTAATTGTAACTTGCACTCAAAATCCTTTTTATAAATTATTTTCTGTTTAGACAATTATTTTCTTTTACTTTCATTTTTCTTAAATATCCTAATACAGTAGAGCGTCAATTTTCCGAATCAATTAGGGACTGGGCTTGTTCGTATAACTGATATTTCGGATAACCGATTATGCACTAAAAAATAGTTTAACGTATTAGATGTTGAAATTTTTCTCCGTTGCGTGTCCTTTCGCGTTGAATTTTCGTCGATGTTAAGCCTAACGAAGACTATTGTATCGTTAAAAATTATTTTTTTATTTTGTACAAACAAAATAAATATATTAAAAAATATAAAAACAATAAAAAATTATACTTCAGAAGTTAATTTAGTATAAAAAACGTAAAATATTTGAGTAGCCCAAGACATAGCCAAAGATTACAGCGCCACAGCACTGGCGAAAATTTAAATTTGCCGACTGGAATTCTTTCGGATGATTGACGTTTCGAATGATTGACTTTCGGAAAATTGACGCTCTACTGTATATACTAATTTATTTATTGATTTATGATTTGCAATTTTCATTTTCAATAAAAAAAAGGCTACGGTCGACAGTATAAGCAAGATTCAGAGGTTAAAAAATTTCGAATTTCTTGCAGATTTCACTCATATACACAAACTTTGAAAAAGTTTTCTGTTTACATTTTACACATTACTCTGAGCTCGCGGATTTTTACGGGCTTTTTAAAAATCCAGATTTTCTGTTAATTGTCTTCGGAAAAAACCCGAAGAATTTGTACTAGATCGGATTTCACCGATTGTATAACGACTAGCTGAGAAAGTTTACAGTTAGGTGTGAAGAATGCATGTCATCCTCAACAAAAGTCAATCACGTGACAGTTTTCCCATGCTAATAATATAAAAGCTCGAATCTCCGGAAGCTCAGGGCGACATCGGAGAAAAGGTGACCAGCCAGAATCTCCATATTAGAGAAAGAAAGAAAAGAAAGCTCAGGGCGATTCGTCATAGGAAGTTATACTTTGTGATAGTGCCCACCTCGACTCCCGAACCTCCATACAGCGGACTTGATCCAGCTACAGAGAGAGGACATCGGCAAGAAGACACGGAAGATACCACACCCTTCCATACAGACGACGTTCGCCAAACTCTCTCTTCCACCGAGAGGTATTTAGGAGTTAGAATTTGTAAAAGCGCTCTCTCTCGAACTAGAAATTAGGCCAGCGACATAGCTACGAAATTAGTCGACATATTCTGTAAATATTTTAATATAACCGCATTTATCCTTAGTAGTAAGTTCACCTCTTGTAGTTTAGATTTAGTTATTCAATAAATGCTTTGTTATTTTGTTAACCTGTCTCCTGTCAATTAAGGACCCCTGCCGACTTTCCGACGCACTCCCCACTCGATTTGTCCTCCTAGCCATCCAACAGACTCCGAGATCGGGTTTAATCAACCTGTTGCCGATTAAGTGGTCAGTAGGAGATTAACCCCTGACCCACGGCTTATCTCACATTACTATACTGAAAGGGCTATTGTTTATTTAACATAACAGTTTGATTATTACACTAAAAATGTAAGAATTTTTGAAAAAAAATAGTTGCTGTTTTTGCATTTTAGTGGTGCAGTAATGCGCAGATTTTACAGGTAACTACTAGAATTTTACTTCATTTGTTTTAAAACATTAACAAATATTAAATCATAAAATGATAATTATCTACGTTAAAGTTGTAATTTTAGTTATTAACAATTGAAAATAATCGTTAAAGTTAATTTCTATAATACTCACCAAATGTCTTCTTTATACGTTCTCTAATTTTAAGTTATAAAAGTGTGTTCATTTACTTACGACTACTTTTATGAAGATAGGTTTTTTATCTAAACCGAAAACATAAAAAAAAATTTTAACATAGTATATACATCCTGTGGAACATACTCAGACAGTTTTCATTCTGTACGTAAATTGAATAATTTCATAAATATTTAATAAATAAGTATTTTAGAATCACAGCAATAATTATTCATTTAAAAATTTTTAAATGAGCAGTTTTTATATTCTATTCTAAACATTATTACAGGGGCCTATCCCTTTTAAATTTACAGGTATTCATTTAGATCTGAAGTGACACTTCTGTGACACGAAACGTGTATAAAAACTGAACTAGGATTTATGCACTCGAGTCTATTTAGAAGAGCAAGAGATAATGAAGTATTTCGCCACGATATTCTCGTTGTGATTGTAAATAGTCTATCGGGAAACAAGTAGCCAAGCAAAGTGAACCGAACCACTTAACAGAAGAACTTAATTCCATTTTATTACATTTTTTGAGTCATAGAAAAAAGAAACTCGCTTTAGATATGGACAATTCATAACGAAAGTTTCGTGACTGAGAAAAACATCTCTCTACGTTAATTCTGTACACATTTCACTCTTTGCCTCGTTTCATCTCGCACGAGGATTTAAACCCTACATTATCACTAGAAATTTTTCGCTAAGCATTTGAAATAGTCGACCCCCCTAGAACACTGTCGATAATTCCGTTTTATATGAATTCCATGTTGTGCGAGTTACTTAGATTTTACAAATACGTGAGCCGTTCACATAAAACGGAATTATCAACAGTGTTAAAGGGGGTCGACTGTATTTCGAACTAAATGAATAAACTACGTATCAACAAAAACAACAAATACGAAATATTTACAAATAAGAATTTCGGTAACCAATGTGTATTCTGCTAAACCTTGTGAAATTTCATTGTCCACTTGTTTCACGGTCACAGTGTGCTCGTAATAAATTGAAATTATTATAAATAAATCTAAATGTAATAATTGTATAAATTATATTATAGACAGAAAACAATTCGATACCAATATGACGAAATAATACTTAAAAGGGTTACTCACTTTACAAGCTTTAAATAATAAATCGTGTGATACTTACCTAACCAAGGAGAAAATAAAATGAGTAGAATTGCGTTAAGTATTCGATATTTATGCATTTGTCATTTATGCGATAAGTGAATGTGGAATGGGATGAGTGCCAATAGCATTTTTTTTTCTTTTACAATAAGATCTGTTTAAATTTCAAAATTTTTAATTTAAATAATATTTTTATTTCTTGTTTTCTCTAATAATAAAGTCGTCAAACTTATTATAAAATTCGCTTTGAAAATGCTATAAAAGTCTCATTCTTATTATTCTACAACATACACAAGCAGCAAACGTATGACAAAAGTTGTTTTAATGTTTAATTTTTTATACAAGATATATTTGAATTAATTAAAAAAATCGGTCGTCTTTCCACGTGTCAGCTGTTTTCCATAAACTGGTTTTTATGTATTATGAACTTTGCTGCTGATAAAGATTAAAATAGACTGAACATTCCAGTCATTGAGAATGATTTTTTGATAATTTATTTACAGTATTTTATTTAAAAAATGTAAAAAAGTCATCGTTTAGTTAACAATGAAAAACACATCGAACGTCCATTGCATGTGCCATAAACTTTGTATTGTGTTTATAGATAAAAAGATACATTAAATATTAACAAATTAGCTCATATTATCTTTATCATAGTTGTATCTTTAGAAAATTAATTAATTTAATTATATAACGGAATCTTCCTTCCTCCTTTACAATCACTTCAGTTAAGAAGTCATATTTATTCATAAAATCTGTTCACAGCATTATTATAAGATACAATATAAATTTTTAATTAATATTTATTTAAAACTTAGCGTAAGTATTTAAGAGAATTAAATCATTTTATGTAAAGACTTTTCGATGTTTAAAGCCAAATTATCTCAAAAACTGTTATTATAATAAAGTGTCCTTGTCGTTGCTGTAAATTAGAGGTTTTTCATTACGTTAGAAAAAAAATATTTTAAAGAGGTTGCGGTCGAAGTTTTCATCTGTGTAAAACGTGAACGTCGAACGTCGAGCGCCTCTTACAAGATAGCCGCTCTCGACGTTCGACGTTCACGTTTTACAGATGAAAACTTCGGCCGCAATCTCTCTATTGGCTTTACATATTTTGGTAATTTATACTAAGTAGAATATGAATGCAGATTTATTGATGGCCTACTATACCTGTCCTTTATTTATATAGGTTTAAAATATCACAAAAATGTGTTTCTTTTAGCCTCCATCTCATCACTAATCACTATCACTGTCAATATCTAATAATACTGTCTGAACTCTTGCCATCCCACATTAACCTGTTTCATTTGTCAACCTCTAACTCATTATCCTCTAATTAACTCTAAGTTATTATGTTCCTGTAAAAATGTTGAATATGTTGTCTATACAGTTGGAATTTCTTTTTTTTCCTCTCTCTAACAACCTATATTTGAAATCCAAGAACTAAATCTACTGACTTTTAGTCCCCCTCTCTAACCTGTTCCTAACTATTTTGGCTCAACTTTAATCTCTCTCTATCATTAATAAACACAATATAAATTGTGAATAATATATATCATAGCTCCTTTCTCACTACAAACTACAATAATTCATCTAATATTAATAAATAAATAAAAAAATATTGATTTAACCTTGATAAAATCCAAAGCCACCCTAAATCTTAAATCTCTTTTTTTTTTTTCTGTAACACTTTAAATCTATCCTATCTTAACACATGGTTTAACATTTCTATACATTTCCATAATTAAATGTATATGATTCTCATCGATCCCTTTTATTCCTGATTCAGAGTTCTCCAGAATTCCATATTAATAATGTATATATAGGCTTAAATATAAATTTTTTTTTTACTATCTTTTCTTACCCTTAACGAAAACTCCCAAAAAGATTTAAAAATGAACACAAATTGTAAGCAAAAAACACAGTTTAATCAATTTAAAGTCTAAAATCGTTAATAAAAATAGAAATATTAACGACATTTATGAATGAATAATGTTCAAAACCAAATTAAAATAGTATTTATAAGCAGTCTTTTAAAAAAGACAAAAGTAATATCTGAGTTAAAAACGAGAAAATTTCATATATTAAAAGAATTTCGAATGTTTACAGCTGACTCTCCCTATGCTCCAGCCAAACTTACGCCTTGAAACGATTGAAGCGCTCGAAGTGCTAGAAATATTTATTACGCCACTATCGTAGCATTAATGAAATATTGCCAAAAAGTTACCAACAAATAACGTTGAATGAACTGCTCAAGTAATTACAGTCCATCCCCCTATAACACTGTTGATTATTCCGTTTTATACGAATTCCATGTTGTACGAGTCACTTAGATTTTACAAATACGTGTGCCGGGCTGTGAACGACTCACGTATTTGTAAANGAAAACAAATTGAAAATATTATTTTAATTTTAAAAAGTTTAAAAGTAAGTAAGAATTTTTCAGATCATCTGAAATATACAGTAAAATCTTTTTTCATATTATATAATCTCTATTAATTAAATTCGTATTGTCTTTTTATTCATTTAAAGCAGTGTTTCTCAACGGGGGCGATATCGCCCCTATGTGGGCGTTTTTCCATGTCCAGGGGGCGATTGTAACAATTTATATTTTGGGGGCAAAAAACAATTTTCTGGGCTATATAGTAGAACATTATATTAAGAATAATTCGATATTTTATTCGTTATATCGTACAATAATTAAACAAATAACATTATACTAGTAACTAGTCTATTCAATGCAGTACGAACTTGGCGTTAGCCTTATCCCTCGGCATCGGAATTTTGTAGTGAAGGGGGCGATACTACGTAACGGTTTTACTGAAGGGGCGATACTACGTTGAAGGGGGCGACGGTTCGTTACAGATTGAGAAAAATTGATTTAATCAATGTAATTCATTTCCAGAGATAATATTTTTCGATTAAAATGCATACATTCACATTTCAGAAACTCAAAATATCGATATATTTAGATAAAAAAGCAAATCTTTTAAACATGGATCTTTGTAAAAATATGGAAGATAGTCAGGAAAAGGTATACTTTTTTATTGATAAAGTTAATATTATTTGAGACATAGAAACTAAATAAAAGACTACTCTATCTATACAAGTTACAACAACGATTATAAAGGTTAAACATTATGGGCATTTCAATTATGCCATCAACCATGGACAGACATCGTACGACCAGCGGACGTACGATGTCTTCCGGCTGATTAGTGGAATTCCATTTGCCACAATCCGTATAAATGGATTGAGTTTAGGCGGGAAGTTTAGTTGGCCTAGGACACATCAAGTTCGTCTAGCTTCGCCTAAGTTGGCCTAGAAGATTGTTTCGTCTCGCTGTGCGGTAACTAACGTTGGAAGGAGTTCGTCGCAAGGTGTCCTTTTCGACGGACCTGTCGTCGTGGATAACAAAGTATTTGAACTTTGTTACACCTGACGTATTGTAATTGTTGTTTGTGAACTTTTGTAAGTGTACATACGTTTTACTCGTAACATAAATGTTTTGTGGAAATTCAGTAACGTCTCATATATCGTTTTCAATTTGACTGTCTTCATCGAGTACTTAGGTGTATTAAATTGATAACATTTCATACATTGTAATAAATATTTTTATCTATTTCGATTTTAGAAATGTTCGAACTTTTTTAAATTCGAATTTGTTATTGCGTATTGGTTCGATTATATAACGATTGTAAACGTTCCAGAAAATTGATCAAATTGAAAACAGTTCGTTTGATTCTCGGCAATTCTCATCATTCTCAGCGGTAGGTATTGTATAACATTTACTATGGTTGTTGAAATACAGGTAACCCCCATATAATACGGTAGTTACGTTTCAAAAAATGCCTTGTTATGAGAAACAAACAACTAATACGAAAAGCAGTATTAGGTTCCAAAAACTGAAAAACATGCTATTAT